ATTACCATTTCTTAGAGCATGGAAAACTTCAACATTATCCTTTTTGACAATGCATTTGTCCGACTTAAACAAGACATCATATCCTTTATCACATAATTGGCTAATACTAAATAGGTTATGTTTTAAGCCCTTAACAAGTAATACATCATCAATAGATAGGGAGGAGGAGATACCAATAGTTCCAATGCCAATGACCTTGCCTTTTGAGTTGTCACCAAATGTGACGCTTCCTCCTTTATGAGGTTTGATGGAGTGAAATTTTGATTGATCTCCCGTCATATGCCTTGAACATCCGCTATCAAGAAACCATTTGTCCTTGGATAAATATGGAGACTTCAAGCAAACCTACAAAAGGAATTTGAGTAATCTTCTTTTGGTACCCACATTCTCTTGGGTCCATGAGAGTTAGGAAGAGGTGTATAAGTCCCTTTAATGACCCAAACTACTTTTGTCCTACATGGCCTAATAGGACAATGATTGATCTTATGTCCTATTTTTTTACAATAATTACATTGTGGACTAAAAGATGAATTTTTAACAAAGTAATTGTTCAAAGGTTCTCTCTTTTTCAATAAACAAGAGTTTTTGTTGTGAGGATCAAATCCAAGTCCATCCTTGGCATAAGCATTTCTTTGCTTTCCAAGTATGAGACCCAAATTTTCTCTACCTTTTGTGAATTTTGCTAAGGTCTCAATTTGATCTTCAATCATAATTTTTAATGATTTATTTTCAGAAATTAAATCTATTGAAATCGATTCTTTAGCTAATTCTTTTTCCTTTTTCAAAGCTTCATTTTCAAGTTGAAATTTTTCAAGGTTTTGAGAGATGATATTCTTTTCCCTTTTTAGAGTAGCACATTTTTGAACCATTTTGCCTAATTCATCATGCAATTCTCTAAAGGCATCTAGTAAGTAATTGTGTGCATCAACCAATTCATCATAAGTAGTTTCCAAATTAAATGAGTCATGATTGGAAATTACCTCATCGTCATCGGCCATGAGACAAAGATTAACCAATTCATTGAGTTCATCGTCACTTTCGGATCCATTTGAATCATCATCCTCCCATGTAGCTTGCATGGCCTTTCCTTTCTTTTTCCTTTCCTTTTCATTTTTATAGGCATAGCAATCGGATTTGAAATGCCCCGGTTTTCCACAATGGAAGCAAGTAGGTGCTTCTCTTTTTCCTTGCTCACTAGATGACCCATTTCTTTTGAAGTTGTTGCTCTTTTGGAACTTCTTCATTTGAAGGATTCTTCTCACGGTTTTGGTAATGAGAGCAACTTCTTCTTCTTCTTCATCATGAGGAGCCTTATCAATTGCAACTTCTTTGGTAGTAGCTTGTAGAGCTATATCCTTCTTTTGAGTTTCTTCATCTCTATCATTCATTTCTAGCTCGTAAGCCATTAGTGAACCAATGAGTTCGTCAATGGGAAGTGTGTTAAGATCTTTGGCTTCTTGGATGGCGGTCTTCTTTGCTTCCCAATTCTTTGGCAAAGATCTAAGGATTTTTCTTACATTGTCGGATGATGCATATTTTCTTCCAAGAGCTTTCAAAGGATTAACAATGTTAGTAAAACGAGAGTACATTTCACTAATAGTTTCTTTGTTATTCATGGTAAAAAGTTCATATTTATGGACAAGCATATTCATTTTGGATTCATTAACATGACTAGTACCTATATAGGTAACTTCAAGTTTATCCCAAATTTCTTTAGCCGTTTCGCAATCCGAAATTCTATTGAATTCATCTTTGCTTAAGGCACAATAGAGATTTGTGATAGCCTTGACATTACATTGTATAAGCCTACGGTCATTGAGGGTCCATTCAATATCGGGTATTGGAACATTTTCACCCTCTACTATCTTGGTTGGAACATGGTCTCCTTTTTCTACGGCTTTCCAAACATCTACATCTATGCCTCTTAAGAATGCTCTCATTTTGATTTTCCAATAGTTGTAGTCACTTCCATCAAACCAAGGGGGTCTATTATTAGATTGACCTTCTTGATGAAAATTTGTATTGGCCATGATCGTTCTCTAAGATGATTAATCTTTTTCTAGAGATTAGGCTCTGATACCAATTGTTAACCACTAAATGACTCTAGAGGGGGGGGGGGTGAATAGAGTCAATGGCCAATTTTTTGCAATTTATGAAACTTGTTTTACAACAACTATTATGCAATGATTAATTGATAAATTCAAGCAATATAAAGCACAAGTAAAAGAGATAGAGATAGGAAGATGCAAACAATGAACTCGGTGATTTAGCGAGGTTCGGAAACTCCTACTCCTCGGCTCAAGATCCCCCTTGAGACTTCCCAAATTCACTAGAGCTTCTCCTTAATGGTGGAGAGCAAACCTTCAAATTTGAAGCAAGACCTTGCTCCTTTTCCTTGCTAGGAGAACACCCTTCTCCTAGGCTTCTTTTGGGTCACACCAACCCTTACAAGATTGTAGCAAAGTTTGTAAATGAAATACAAGAATCTCTCTTAATAGATATACAAGTGCAAGCTCACAACTAGAGAATATCAGAATATTAATGAAGCTCAAGTTCTAGAATGAGAGAAATATCGTGATGGTTGAAAGTGAAAGCTCAGAGAAGAAATAAAATGACTTATTGAATGCTCTTGAATGCTCTCTTGAATGAATTATCCAGTGGTGTATCACTTCAGTAAAATGAGCCTTCTTTATATAGACAACCGAGGCTTAATATGTCTGTTAGAAGTAGTTGGAAGTCTTAAATGCAGAAAAGTGCCGTTGAAGATTCAAATAATCTAGAAGAGCCGGCTCTACAAAAAATTGGAGGAGGCTCCAATAAATGGGAGGCGGCTCCAATAACTGGGAGGCGGCTCCAATTCACAAAATGCATTCTACGACACACAATTTGGCTACTGGAGTGCAAAGAGCAGGCTCCTATATTTGGGAGGCGGCTCCAATCCTTGTGTAAGACTAAGAATGAAACACATTTTGTTCTGTGCACTTCCTATTATGAGAGCATGCATAAGTAAAGTTCATGGAAAGATTTTAGGCCTTCTAAAAACTGATTTTTAGAGAAAATATGCATGAACCTAAAAACTTGAGCTTCAGAAGATATTCAAATATGCTTTAACATTTAAATCTAAAGCTCTCACCATCCTATCTACCCTTTTCTCCATTCCCTGACCATGATCTCTTGAGCTTGATGAGGACTTGCTTTCTTCCTTGAAATTGTTTGATTGATCTTTGAAGTTTGAGTCTTTCTTTGATTTCTTGCAATCTTTGAGGCTTCATTGAGTTCATAGCTTGAGTACTTGAATGCTTGAAATTGCTCATCTAGCTCATCATATAGGATATGAACTATATATAACTCAATGAAAATATTAGTACATAAACATCATTAATGGTTTGTAATCATCAAAACCTTTAGATAAAAATCCTTAGGCCAACAATAATAATACTAATAATAATAAGAACAAATAAACAAAAACAACAAAAATTGTATATATTGGCCCTATTTGGAAATCACAAATATTATGTGTTTTTGTTTTGACCCAAAATAAAACGTTTCTATTTCGAAGTGTGTTCAATGTAATCAAAAACATCTTTGGTAACATTATATTTGTTTCATGAATTTTTTGAAGCAAAAACATCAAGAAATTTTTGGTGAAAAATTGTTACAAGTTTGATAAATAAAATGACTAGTTAAAAAGGTCATTTATTATTATTATTTTTTGATGACTACAGTGTTTTTGCTACATCGTAGAAGCAATGGGAAACACAAATTTGATGCTTCCGATTTTGCCTTTTTTTCAAAAAATACGAAGCAAAAAAATTGCCAAAAAAGATTTTAACTTATTTTATTGTATGTTTTCAATTCCCACTATAGTTACATGACTAATAAAATAAGGAATAATTAATAATATCTATCAAAGATGAAAAAAAAACATTGAGTATACAAAAATAAGCATATATCATAATTAAAGGCCTTTACCTTGTTAATCATAGTTGTAAAAGGACGTCTAAGCTTGTGGCTATCAAAGATACCTACCAACCAGTAATTGAACCAATTAAATTCAACAATGCAGCTATGCACACAAACACCTAAGTATGAAAAATATCATGAAAGTAAAACAGTGTAAAAAATTTCATGAGCGAATCAATAGAATGGCAGAGAGGAAAATTTTCACCAGCATCAAAGAGTTTTAACCAATAGTATTTACAGAAATCCACTAACCCAATGGGCTCTTTAATTTTATAAGTGAACAATGACTCAGTGTGCGTTTAGTTGTAACTTTTTTTTTTTTTTTTTCAAATATCTAAGTTCAAAAATATAAATTGAATTATGAACTTTCAGACTTGGAAATGTTTAGAGTGAAAAACTATTATGCTTATCATGTGGCATGGAAATAATATCTTAGAATTAGAAAAAGATGGGACCCTCCAAATTTTTTGTCATATTTTTATTAGGGAGACGATATTCGCAATCTACTTTTATACAATTATACTCGAATCTTAAAGCAAATGATACATCTAACCTTAATTTTAAAAATTAATACTTATTTTTCTCAAATATCACAATAACCCTTTTCAGTTATGGTAAGATATTTTTTTCTCCCCTCTTTCCCAATCACGGTTTTGCATTTCGTGTGCAGGAATTGAATGGAATGCAAGTGGGAATTGAATGGAATGATAATAACCATTCTAGTGTTTGTTTGACCAATTTAAAATTTAGAATGGAATAAATTTCAAATTGAGTTCTCCAAAATATCCCTCTTAGTGACAAATAAATTAAATTAAAAAATTAACATTCTTCTCTAATTTTTTTTAAAATAAATGGTGGCAGTGGCGGTGGTGGATGGGGGTGGAGGTGGAAAGTGGTAGTGGTGTAGGTGGTGGTGTTGGAAGGCGGCAACGTCGACGGTGGTGGAAAATGGCAATGGTGTTGGTGGAAGACGGTGACAGTAGTGTGGTGGTGATGGTGGAAGGAAACAGTGGTGTAAGTGACGATGGTGAAAGTTAATGGAGATGACTGTGATGGTGGTGGAAGGCAATAGAGGTGGCGGTGGTAAAAAGGGTGGCGGTGGTGGAAGGTGGTGGCGGTTGAAGGCAGCGGAGGTGGTGGTGGAAGGCGGTGGTGGTGGTGGAAGGGGTGACAAAGGCGGTGGAAAGCAACGGAGGTGGTGGTGGAAGGTGGTGGAAGACGGTGATGGTGGTGAAAGGCAGTGAAGGTGGTGAAAGGCGGTGGCAGTTATGTAAGACGGTGGTGGTGATGGAAGGTAGTGGTGGTGATGGAAGGTAGTGGCGGTGGTGAAAGGCAGTGGCAGTGGTGAAAGACAGTGGTGGTGGTGGAAGGCGATGGCGGTGGTGAAAGGCGGTGGTGGTGGTGGTGGTGAAATACGGTGGCGGCAGTGGTGGTAGTGGTGAAAGAAGGTGTCGTAGTGGAAGGCAATGACAGTGATAGTGGTGGAAGACGGTGGTGGTGGCGATGGAAGACAGTGGCGATGGAAAGCGGAGGCGGTGGTAGTGGTGGTAGTGGAAGGTGGTGGCAGTGTCGGTGGTGGAAGTAGTGGTGGTGAAGGTGGTGGTGGAAGGTGGTGGTTGTGGTGAAAGACGATGGCGGTGGTAGTGGTGAAAAGCAATGGGCGGTGGTCAAAGTTGATAGCGGTGGTAGTGGTGGAAGTCAGTGATGGTGTAATACGCCTAATTTTAAAAGGATAGTCATGGTATTAATTTGTTTGTTTTAATTGCATTTTTAATTAATTAATTGATTACTTGGCTAATTGTTTAATTGTTTAAATTAATTGTGCGCTTAAATGTTTTGTCTTAATTAATTTAGTAATTAACTTGCTTGCTTTGATAAGGTATAATTTGTTTGTATGATTTTACTTGCTTAGATGATGTATTGCTTAATTGTAATTTTGTGTTAGAATTGAATGATTTTAATTGTTTTATTTTATTTTATATTTTAAGGTGTATGGAGATGGATAGTAGTAATGGACCAAACAACTGGGTCAAATGGACTATGTGGATATGAGGTATAATGGGTACAGATATTACCCATGGATGGTTGTACATATATATATGGGTATATATGTATAGGAGGATAATTTATTAGTATTATCATTATTGTTAAATAATTAATATTAATGATAATATTTTAATAGTCATTAAATATATATATATGTAGCTTGTATTATATACATGTGTATAAATCACGTTAGTGTTGTAGCTTATATATATGTGTGTGTGTATTATTTATTTTATTTTATTTTGTTATTTATTTTCCTTATATGCAGGCTTAGGGTATGACTAGGATTAAGGTTTTGTGTATCCTATATATATACTATTATATGTGTGTAGAGGGGCTGGGATATTACGTATATATTATCAGAGAGTTTTAGAGGAGAAACTGAGAGGAAGAAAGGTAGAGTTCAACCAAGAGGGCTGAACCAAGGAGGAGGAGGAAGAGGGGCTGGCTTGTGGGTTAAACCAAGAGCGGCAGAAGAGGTTCAACGGCAACTAAGGTCGCCAGAAAACCTAGGAAAAAGACGGTTAAAAGTTTCAAACTGAAACCTTAAAAGGCAAGTTCTTCTTCTATCTCTTTCTTTTTGATTTCGTATTCTATACATGCCTAGGTTAATTCCAGGGTTAATCAGAAATTAAATAGAACTTGTATGTATGCTTAAATTAAATTAAAACAGAGTTGATGTGTTTATATTCATAGTTGTTTAATCTTGAATTTTCTTGAATGAAAATTTGTTTTAATTTGTGTTTAAGATGCATATTTATTGTATAAAATTATCTGGAATGATTTGGGACATAGTTCGGACTCTTAGGACCATTATCAATGGAGAACAGATGGGTTATAACTTACCGGAGATGAGAAAGAAAATGCAAAGTAGGTTGAGAGCTGGCTCCCAAGGGGTAAGAGCTGGCTCCCTATTGATTTTGTGATGGCTCTCAAGGAGAGAGCCGACTCCATAAAGAAGGGAGCCGGCTCCCTCAGGCTGAGAGCATGCTCTCTCTGGTTGAGAGCATGCTTCCTCTTGGAGAGAGCTTGCTCCCAAGAGGACAGAGCCTGCTCCCTTGTTTTGGGAGCATGCTCTCATGCTGGGACTTCTATGGGATGGCTGTCTTTGATACTGTTGTTGAATTTTGGGGTTCCAGTGTTGTTTTAGATGATCATGGGGGTTTTAAATAATTATAATGGACTTGTTAAAATCCCTAAAAGTATAACTTATATTCTTATGCTAATATCTTGAACAATATGGAATTTTAATTAAATTAGCATATTGTTAATGGATGATTTATTTTGCTTAATATTACTTTAGCAATGTAAATGGATATTGAATGATGTTAATCTTATGTTGGAAGTATAATGTAATCATGTGTTATTTCTGATTTTATTATGCTAAAGATTTAATCAGTATGAAATTCTAATTGAATTTGCATGTTGATAATGGAGGATTTAATTGCTTAAATTTACCTTAGCAATCAATATGGATATTATATGATTTTAATCATGCGTTGATAGTATAATATGATCATGTTATTATCTGATTTTTATTATGCTTGATTCTGGAAATTATTGATGTATTGTTTTATTTCTTTCATCAATAATTAGATTGTATGGATATAATGCACCGGTATGGGACGGTGGCATTCTAAGGACGGATTAACCAAAGAAGTTAAGTCCTACCTAATTTTGTATAAGGGAATGGATTAACTAAAATGTTAAGTCCTCCTTATATTTAAGTTAGATCAACTGAACAAGTTGAATGACTTGTAGAGGATTAATTATAGAGGATTACTTTAGAGGATGGTTACTGTGTTTATATATATTTAGTTATGTGCCATGATATGAACTTGAGTCTCGGGATCATGGTTAGGGTACGTATATTGCCTATGATGGATAGCTAGATATAGTAGACATCTATGTGCCCTAGTAAGTCTAAGTACTCATGCCCACTTTATGTGCAATTTGCATGTTGCCTTTTATTCAGGTTGAGGCAAACCTATTGTCTAGTGAGCGTCCTATAGTGTGTGTATATATATACGGACTATATTAGTTATTGTTGGATTGATTAAGATGTATACGTGTATCGGATCTCTACTTGGACTGTAGTAGAGTAAAACTTGTTTGTGGGCCTGACCCACCATTATTTTTCAGGTGTTCGTCAGGAGTAGGGATTGTTCGTGCTGAGCAGGGATCATCTACTTCATTCTTCCGGATTATCTATATTATCTATATAGGAGTTTCCTTTATGATTCAATATCTAGTTGTAGACAGTTGTTTACTATTGATTATTGATTTGAGATTTTTAGGGGTCCACACAGTATGGATTCCCAAGTTGTATTATTATAGGATTAATTGTATCAGAATAATTTATTATTTAATGAAATTTTATTATGAGGTTTCAATTAATGGATTATCATTTTAGTCTTCTTTCAGAAATTTATTTATTCTTATTTATCTATTTTGTACTCTGTGTTTGATTATTACCGATTTATTTTTTATATCATCGGGTATTCGAGTGTGGGCCTGGCTAACCCGCATCCGGAAATCCGGGGTATCACAAGTGGTGGTAGTGAAAGGCAGAGGTGGTTGTGATGGAAGGTAGTGGTGGTTTTTGGACTTAGAATATGAGGGTTTTTTGGGAAGTTGATTTTTTAAAAAAAAATTACTTGGAAATGGAATGACCTATTCTATAGGTTTAGTTGTGGAATGGATTTTCATTCAAATAGAATGACTATTCCCACTTTAAATTGCAAACCAAACAAAAGAATAGTTGGAATGGGCATTGCATTGCATTCCATTTCTGCATACCAAACGCAGTATAGTATGCTACATTTTTTTTGTTATTCCCTCTTTTTCTTTTGCTTCTTGCATTTTTAAACTCTTTATCTATTTTGTATTAACTTTTTCTTCTCTCTTTGATATTGATCTTTGTAAGTAATAATGAAAAACTTCACAAATGAAAAAATAACAGAGTTTAACGATGTAATTAATCTTGTTAGCATAAAAATTATTGAATAACTATTAAAACTTTATGAACTACTAAACTCTTTTGAAGATAATAGTAGCGATGGGAATGGTAATTTGTTTATTTTATTTTTATTTTATGTTATATGCTTTGATTTTATATTTGGATTTTTTTTCCCCTTGTGTGATTTTTAAAAATTATTTTGGATGGTGATGGGAATGGTAATTTGTTTCTTTTATGTTTTATGCTTAGATTTTATGTTTGGATTTTTTTTTTCCCTTATGTGATTTTTAAAAATTATTTTGGATGGTGATGGGAATGGTAATTTTAAATTTACTTTCTTTATATTTTATGCTTTGAGTTTAGGTTTTTTTTTTTTTTGAATGTCATTTTTAAGAACTAATTTAGAATTTATTTGAATATTTAAGTTTATCATGTATTTGTTGATAAACAAAGTTTCAACTCTATCGATAATAAAATTAAAAGAATATGGATTTTGTGAAAAGAATAATATATATATATATATATATATATATATATATATATATATGTATGTATTGTAAAGAAAGTAAATAAGGTTTACCTTTTGGAAGAAAAAAAAAAGTAAATAAGGTAAGAAGAAAAAGTTTATAGTGAAAAGGATAGATGTGGTATTATAAAATAAGGAAGGAATCATTAATGAGCTTAAGGACCTTTTTGTCATTTTCTTTAAAGAAAAAAGAAAAGTAGAGTGTAATTGTACAAAAATGGAGTTCGAATATCGCCTCACTTTTAATTAATGCTAATTAATTATAATTATAAATGGTAATTTTGTATAGCAAAATTTTTATTTTTTCACCTTGGCAAGAAACTCTCACCCACCAATCTATAGGAAGTATAACTAGGCTATAGGAAAATTTAAAATGACCCCCCATATTTTTTTAAACTATATTAATGGTAATTATTTATAATTATTAATGGTGATTGTGTATTGAAAAATAGTGGATCTCACAAAATTTTAAAATTCCCATTTATAGTCATCTGTCTATGTTAATTAAAGGTGGTTTTCAAAAGAAATTACTTGTAGTCCCTTTAAATTCCAATATAAATATTTTTAGTCCTATCTTTAAAAATGTGAAAATAAGGGTTTGCTTGATTTTTCAATTGAAAAACTGTTTTCAGAAAACTAAAAATTATAAAATTGTACAAAAGTTCTTAGTTCAGTTTCTAAAAACTGTTTTCTGAAAACTCAGTTATAAAAAAATCTATTTTAATAAACTGAATTTTATAGTTCTCTTAAAATAATTTTCTATTTTTAAACGCCTGTTCGGTAACGTTATGGTATTTATGTGAAAATGGTAAATTTTGAAAAGTTGTACTATCATTTCTGTCAAAAGCAAAACACTTGAATTTTTGAAAAAGGAAAACTAAAAAAATATGTATATTGAAACAAAATATTACCAAAAAAAAAGCTTAGATCTATTAAGATATGTTAAGATCTGGCTCGGATCTATTCAGATATGTTAAGTTCTAAAAGAAAATATGTCATAATTGTTAAAAAAAACAATAATAAAGCTTTAATCGGAGCAAAAACAAGATGAAAACTTCTTGTCCAAAAAAAATAAGTTGAAAGATTGTACCTCT